ATAACTCAGAGAACTCAAGTAAATGAGTCACCATGGAAAAGACTAAGCAAAAAACAACTGCATTACTGACAGAATCACTTCTTATTTCTAAGGTCCTCATTCAAGCTTGTTCTCCACTTTATCAATAATTATTAAGCACATTACTGTTAATTCTTTATACTTACTGCCTCTATTCCATACACTGTCAGCTACACAAGACATAGTCTTTGATTTCTTACCTTTTTTCTCCTCACTGTTCTGAAAAAAACTGCAAACAAACCTTTAAGAATGACCTGCTCTGTCTGGAGCGTGGGGAGAACACATAATTCTGTAAGTCTGTTTTTAGTTTTCCTCCACAAAGAAAACAGATGCTACTTCAGAAGAACTAGTGCTTCAAATTACCACCACAAGCTATCTCTAAACTCTAAATAAAAGTCTACAATTTAAGCAAACTGAAGGTCTTGGTCAAAATCATCAAATAGTAACACTCAGTATTTATCTTACAAGCAATCTAACGTACAGATGATACCAGAAACAATAGTTCTGAAAGGCTAACTAAGTATTTACTCAATTTTGGGGCATATTTTGCCATTTGTGTTTCTCAGAGATCTTACAGCTCTGAAAATTAAATGCAAATTTCAACTGAAATTTATAAAGTAATCTTTTTCCCATAAGAGATAAATGAAAAGAAATCATGGCATTACGTTACAGACACACATTCCTAATGCCTTATTTTTGATCAACAGTTATTATTTGCTGTTCAAGCAGTTAGGAGTTACCAAAAAGCTGAGTTTGTTACATATTATCTTATGCTAAATAGGTATTTTAAGCTGACAATATAACTGCCATCTTAAATGCTGGGATTGACTGCATTTACAGTCAAGGAGTTTTTAAAGTCTTAAGTAGTGTTTTTCATCAGTTATCTTAGAAGAAAGTAATATCATTTAAGCCTCTTTCAATTAAGTTATATCATATATCATTTTTTGCATATGATGGCCCAAACTCTCAGAAGAAAAAATTCATTTATTCACCTCTACATGTTCACAGAAAAGTGAGCATTAGAATAACTAACCAAAATCACTTATTTCTATAAGATCTGAGACATACTCAAAGATCCTATGCTGTTTGTACATAGTAAAGAATAAAAAAGTGGACCTTGCCCTGAACAACTTAGAGTGTAAATATGTGAAGGAAATGATGAATAAATGTAACATAAAAAGAAGTACAAATACAGAGGTCTTTGTGTACAGAAGTGCACAGCAGGAAGCAGACAGATGGCATGCTGAAACCACACCTCACCACTGCCTGAACGAGGCATTAGAAGGAGGCAATTCAGATCTTAAGATCTACAGCATCAGAGGGAGCACACACAAACCGAGAACTTCAGCAGGTAGGATGATGGTGACTTACATGCCATGCTGACAGGAAACAACCTCTCACTACTGAAAGGGAAATCAGTTGCAGGGGGTGAGGCGCAAACTGAGAGATGGAATCATTAGATAAAATGATGACAATGTATTTAGCTTTGGGAAAAGGTTTTTCACTTCCTGAGCTATCATTGCACAATTTCTGCAGCATAGACAAGAGCTTTGTTTGAGCTAATAGATATAAAAGCTATCTACACCTTAGCCATTGTCCAGACATGAGGACTCGAAACAGAGCCAAGCTGAACTGGAAAACTGCATCACAGGCCTGAATACTACTAGGGCAAGATAGTGGCATTATTCACCACACCAAATGAAAATGAGAGTAAGACCTGAATTTGCTCAGCATCGAAGTGTAATGAATGCAATTCTCAGTATATGCATTTCTAGCTCAAAGAAAAGACTAAGCGTAATACACGTTACAAAACACACATATTACAGCAAAGGAAAGCTACATACATACCAAATGATCCATGGTATTACCAGCCTCCAGTGACTAGAAGTCATAAGCCAAGCACTCACCAAATGCCTTTAAAGTTTTCATTTAATTTCAGGCCTTTAGGGTACACCTAATTCATTCTCATACCAAGCCTTCTAAACTCATAAAGGTCTGAAAACTCTCTAAAGTGAAAATTATTTTTTTCCTCACCATCTCATCTCCGAATGCCAGTAGCTAGGACACAATTTCAGAATTTCTATCTTAGTTACCTAAACAAGGCAGTCTAGTGCCATCACTATCGGAACGTCGACATCGCTCCCCATTTCACCCTCCTTCCCTGCCAACTTGAACTGAATTAATTTTCAAGAGTCAAGCAAATCTAAAGTTCCTACATAGAAGCTTTGTGCAAAACAGCTGCTAGTAGGAAAGAGTAACAAATTAGTGCCCGAGTGGAGGGAAAAGTGGGAAGAGTCAGATCTTTAGCTAATTTGTTTAATCCAGTGAGAGACAGGATCCAACAGCCCCGAGCATAGGCACCAACATGTGGTTCTGAGCTAGACTGTGCTGTTGCCTCATGTCCAGGCAGCTAACCAAAAAACATAGGTAGGTGAAAAGGCAAAGGATGCTGTGACGTGGCAGCTCCAAGATCATGGGAGAGAACAGGGAGTGCCTGAATTGGAAGGTCTTAGTGACTTGAGAAAGTGCGCAACATTTCCCTTACGACAAATCGTTCCCCATAAACCAGTAGGACACGAGATTTCCATTGATTCTGGTACAATAAACCACCTCCAGTATATATATTTTTAATAGTTAATTTTACAGGACAGGTCCCTATGAATCTTGCCACAGGATCAAAACAAAATTCAGAGACAAATCAAGTATATGAGGTCAGCAGCGTGTCCTCATGTAATCAATACTTAGACACCAACGTATGTGTTTCTGTAT